ATTAATAAACCATTTTCTGGTTAGTTTCTATCAGGGAAAACAATACAAGATACCGACATAATAGCTTCATTGGACGTTGTTTCATTATTTACTAATGTTTCCGTAGATCTTGCATTAAACGGTATCAATAATAGATGGCATTTTATAGAGTCACACACAAAGATTCCCAAAAATGAATTCATAGGTATGATAAAATTTATATTAACTTCTACATTTTTCACTTTTAATAACATAACTTACAAACAAATTTATGGGACTCCTATGGGTTCCCCACTTTCTCCGATCATTGCCGATATAGTCATGCAGGACTTGGAAACATTAGTAATTAGTAATTTAAATTGCGAAATGACTTTCTATTTCCGTTATGTAGACGACATTATTTTATGCACTTCCGCTGACAATATTACATATGTTTTGAACGAATTCAACAATTATAACGATAGACTACAATTTACATTGGAAAAGGAGGATAATCGTTGTATAAGCTTTTTAGACATAATGATCAAAGTAATAGATAACAAAATTTATTTAGATTGGTATCACAAAAAGACATTCTCAGGTAGATTACTTTCATTTTTTTCAAATCATCCGACTTGTCATAAAATAGGAACAATTTATAACTTGGTAGATAGAGCTTTATTACTATCACATCCGCAATTTCACAAAAAAATATAGAGAAAGCTATTAACATTTTGCTATCCAACGGTTATCCTCTTGATCTAATTTTCACAGAAATAAAACGCAGATTAAAAAATCTCTCAACTAAGAAATTTAACAAGCCTAATAATAACAATATAACAGATACTAATAATACTAATACTAACATTAAATATTTTGTCATACCATATATAGAATCAATATCTGAGAAAGTTGCTTCAGCAATAAGAAGACCTGACGTAGTGGTAGGATATCGTTGCATTAAAAAATTAAATGACTTCATAAGAGTTCAAAAGGACAAAAATAATTGCCCCACGAATTCTAACGTTATTTACAAATTGAATTGCAACGATTGTGACGCCACATATGTCGGACAGACAAAAAGACAGTTAGGAACGAGACTTAAAGAACATAAAAATAATATTAAATTAGACTCTGCTAGACATTCGGTTATCACGGAACACATTCTAAACGAACAACATACATTTGACTGGGACAATATTAAAATTATGGATCATGAAAAGAATTACCAAAAAAGACTAATATCTGAAATGATCCACATTAAAGAACAGAAAAATGGAATTAATTTAAATACAGACACCGAATTGTTAGACAGTAGTTATTTTGACATACTTAAAAAATTTGCTGAATCATAATTTAGAAAAAACATTGGTAATAAATAAATACATCACGCTCTCTATTTTGACATTTGGTATTCAGACTTCGCAACACACACTTGAAATATCGGGGAAAAGGACTTGTTAAAACGATAATGTAAGTTGAAAGATTTTTTAATTTTTTCTGACATTGATTTAATTCGCGTATTATATCCGTAGCATGCTCAAATGTCGCATAACTTGGCATCTCAGACCAATCGCCTTGCATATCTATTGGTCAACAGCGAAGAATCGTTTCAATTTTATATTTTAATATTTAACTAACTTTGTATTTTTAACATCTAACTTTATATTTTAATATTTAATTTTTATGTATTGATAAAGACTGTAGTGCAGTCGAAACGTTTACAATTTATATCGATTCTGTAACGGAATGTTAATTTAATGATTTAACTATTAATAAAAAAATTTTTACATCTTATTTATTTGCTCGTTTAGTTGGCCTACTATATATGATTGTTTAATTTTGTTTAATTTATACGAGCCTTTCATTAATTAATTTTAATAAACGCTGGCCTTATAATGCGTGTGACTAATTACCCGTTTAAATACCATCGTTTTAATTCTAGTTTTATTTATAACTATTTTGGTCTAGAAACGTTAAAACATTTTAAATCTTGGCTAAATTTAATTATGCGATAATTAAGGCAATGTCGAAGTTGAAATTTTTAAGGGAATGTAAGAGATATTGTTTGTTTCCCAACCATTTGCGTAATTTCTGTAATAATAAATTTGTTTTCTACCACTATAAATCAAAAAATAGGATGCGTGGTTTGTTGCATAATATCAAAACTGAAATTCTTAACATAGAGATATTTGATTTATATAGAACTTTAAACTCACTTAATAAAAAACGGTCAAGACAATTCCAAATTCTCCAAAATCTTTTACCATCTTATATCTGGCAGGAGATTTTAAATCACCATTGCAACTCCTTTCTTTGTTCAACCAAAAATTATATCTCATACATAAGAAAAAATTCCTATGGCTACGTAAATCGCATGAAACAGAGTACATTAAAAATATTGATCCTATCGAATTAAAAACAACATCTTCGACAAATATTGTTGATAACACTGTTTCTGCCAACAGTTTTCGTTATGCTACACATAACCCTTTACAACAAACTAACCAGAAATGGTTTATTAATTTAACTGATAAAAAAATTCCCCCCAATGTAACCAATCTATTACAATTGGGAGGTGAATTTAGTCTCCCAGTTAACTTAAATAAAAAAGTAGCTATACACGAATTCATCAAAGATATAGAAAGCAATTCTAACGGATCAGAAATCTTACTTCGATTCGTAATGCTGCCATTCCACAATTTTCATTATTTTTAAACAAAACGACAAAAAACGGACATACAAGAAAAATTATTTCACATGCATAAAGACACAATTAAATTCTGCAATCAAAATCCTAATATTTTATTTACCAGAGCAGATAAAGGCAGCATTACAGTCGCACTAGAAAAAGAATTTTATATAAAAAAAGTTGAGAGTCTCCTAGAAGACGATTCTACGTATACCATAGTTAAAAACAATCCATCAACAAAAATAGAAAAGACCTCAATATTTGTTTAAAAAAATGGTTGAAAAAAGACTTCATCAACAAAAAAGAATATTATTATTTATTTTCAAGCGACTCTCTTCTTCCTAAAGCTTATGGGCTCCCCAAGATCCACAAGGAAAATATTCCTTTTAGATTAATAGTTTCCTCAATAAATAAATACTTCTCTATATAATATTGCTTCTTTCTTTCATAAATTTTAAAAGATAGCCTTCCTAGAGCGGACAGTTTTGTAAATAACAGTTTTGATATATGCAACATTCTATCAGGAAAACAATACAAGATACCGACATAATAGCTTCATTGGACGTTGTTTCATTATTTACTAATGTTTCCGTAGATCTTGCATTAAACGGTATCAATAATAGATGGCATTTTATAGAGTCACACACAAAGATTCCCAAAAATGAATTCATAGGTATGATAAAATTTATATTAACTTCTACATTTTTCACTTTTAATAACATAACTTACAAACACAATTTATGGGACTCCTATGGGTTCCCCACTTTCTCCGATCATTGCCGAATATAGTCATGCAGGACTTGGAAACATTAGTAATTAGTAATTTAAATTGCGAAATGACTTTCTTTCTATTTCCGTTATGTAGACGACATTATTTTATTGCACTTCC